AACCCCCCCTCCGGCTCCCAGCCATGATCTTAACACACCAGAAAATCCCGCCACACTGACATGGAAACCAAAAACAGCCTGTGCCAGAGAGAGCCTGCATCTGCCTATAGACAGTGAGCATGACATCACATGATATGGAATAGTCCCATGATCAATTGGGACTTGGCCTTCCAGCTGTGCTCCCTCTCAGCCCAAGGAAAGTTAACTCTACCCTGGCCAAAACCAGGACAGTGCTACATGACAGAATACTTGTACTTCCCACTTGGCACCCCATTATATGCCTCTTTTTTTGAATTTAAATATGTTATGTAGAAAATGTATCTATCCTTCATGTCATAAATGGATATTGGGTGGAGTAGACTTGTTATTTTCCATTGTGTACAAATTTTGTTTTTGTCACTCCTTAAAAAAGAAAAGGGGAAGAGAATACTCTTAAGAATAGGGTGATGCCTTTTAGATTTGCCATTTTAGCTTAATTAGTTCACTAGAAACATTGCTTTGTTTAAAACAATGGATACTATATATCATTCAGAAGAGTCATTAATATCTTGAATTTATTTTAAGCAACATTTGACACCACATATATACAATGATGAGTCAAAGCCAGTGTCTTTCAACCTATATTGTTTGGAACAGAAAACAGTTTATTTACACAAAACTACTTTTGTGGTGCTGCATTAACTTACCATTTCATCTTCCTTTCTATCTCCTTGTTCTCTGTGTCCCCATTTGCCTCCCTACCTGCCAAAAAGAGCAAAATCCAAAAAGCAAAGCAAATTACAAACCTAAAGGTTGTGTCCTTATGTTACTGCATCAGTAGTCATATTTGTGTTGCACTGCATTCTTACAGATGGTAAATACAACAGATGAGGGGCTGTGATTTATCTCTAGAACATCAGTGGTTCTGAGGAGATATTTTTTTCTTTTTTTTTTGCTTTAGCTCTTAGAGCCAAAGCTAGCCTGTTTTATAGTCCCAGTATCATAAACTCCTCATCTGAAGGACCTTTAACTGAAAAATGTTTCACAGCATTATCTGCAAGAACTCAAGTTACTGCAGTACCATCCTGAGTACTCTTCTGATGTGCTGGTTCTTGTGCTGTTATTCTTGTATGACTGCAGTCACCTTCTGGGTACGTGACCTCTGATCTCTTCAGAGCACTTCAGAATTGTTTTTCTTGTGTTGAGTATTGAAAATTAAGATGTTTGTAATGTATAAACAGAATCAATTAATTACAAAAATTGTATTTCACCAAGTGTACGTGATACCTTTCTGCATTTGAGGCCTCCTGCTTTTGAGTACTGATTATAACTGTGTTCGTAAATTGACAGAAGTTTAGTCAGCATTTATCATATACAGTAGATGGACAACAAACAGTTACAGGTTTAGGACTTATCTTTTATTTCAAGGAACAGAAATGAAGGTTGGCCGTTAATAATCTATTCAAGCTCTATATTTGCCAAATAAAAAAAGAATGCATTTTCTGTATTTCAGGGAAGTCTCAAGAACAGTCGGAAGATTTCACCCCAAGAGTTTATTCAGGAATTAAAATCTGGGTCAATAGATGAAAGACTAGTCACTTGCCTAGAATCTCTCCGTGTGTCCTTGACCAGTAATCCTGTCAGGTAACATCATTAACACATATTGCAAAGATTAATCATATTCTTATTTCTTAATGGATTAAAATTAATGGATCTGTAGATGTGCATGTTTCAAGATTTTTCCTATAATGAATGTGTGTGCTTTAGTGAATGATTGTACCTTTTTTGTTTTTTTTCATTGATTATGTATCTTCTGTAGATCTATTTTTCAGTAGAGGTCACTGATCCGTGACAAGGTAATGCTAAGAGAATGTAAAATAAGTGTAGTGATGAGCTGTTCACTTCATTTTCTGGTGCTAAATAGTAACAATTTTTTTTCATTTTTATTTTTGAAATATTCTATTAACTCTTTAGTCTTTTGACTTTGTCAGGTTGATCAATGCTGGGAGATAGCACTTCAGTGTGAGTTTGTTAGCCAAAAAACATAGATACTTTTAGTTGTGTGCTCCTCATTCAGTTCAGTGTGCTTTAGGCTTGCTGCCTTCTGGTAATTTTTGTCTGTATCTTTGGGGTTTATCTATACAGTGGAGAGTACAACATTAGTTTACCTGTGCTTTTTATTAAAAAAGGCTAACTCTTCAGTAATCATAACTCGTAACACTGATATAAATCTTTACGTTTAATTTTGATTTATCCATGCAGCCTGAATTCTGGATGCTGGCTTTATTTAATTAAATCATATTTTTTTTCTATTCTGTTCTATTTACAACCTTTTGTTTTAGAGTCCCTATGTAAGCCAATGGTTGATTTTGGGAAGCTGTTTTGGGTTTATTTCAAAATAATGCAAATGAAATATTTGGAATGCTTATGGTGTGAAGTGATTAAAAGAGGTTTAGACAACTTCTTCCTGCATCTGGCATGGCAGAGCTGTTGATGTGGGTCTTCTGTATGGGTGCTTCCTTCTTTCCTTCTTTGCGTTTTTGCGATGGATTGTCTTATTTATAGTATTTAATGGTTCACACTGGAAGAAACATGCTTTACATGAACCTGGATTCTTCTGTCAGAGGGTTTTACTGAAAATATACTTACTTCATGAATGTGAAGCTAATTTTTGATATAGTAGGCTGCTGCTTCTTTATTTAAAGAAACCCCAATGACTCACAACCCTAGAGATTTTTTTGATTTACACTTACATTGATTTAACAAAGAAAACTCTGTTAGTATGCATCTGGAAATAGAAACACAAAATGTATGAAGTGTGTGATGACTTAAGTTTAGAGCAGCCTCTTCTCTCTGTTCTTGATATGACTGGGTAATTTCTTTTTGTGTGTGATGCCCTTTGACCCTTTCTCACACACCAAGAGAAAAGTTAATCCCCCTCCCCCACAGAGACAAAACAAAACACACAATCTTGGTGAAGTGCTAGTTCTGCCTGACAGCGGTACAATGTGATAGGACATGAAGAGGTGAGGAAGATGGAGAAATGGTATCAGAATAAGAAGCATGGAGGCCAGCTATGAGAAAACGGTGTTTGTCTGTACTTGAGACATTTGATAGAAAATGCAAGGTGAATTAGACTGATGTTATAATAGAGCATCTGATCAATACCAGAAGTCTGGTGATCAGTATATTCTGAAAGAACAAAGTACAGAAACTTTTACAGCAACTAAATACTATGAAAAATCGGACTAAGTAGGTTTTACATAAACATTTCATGTTTGAGTAAGGAAAGGATTAGAAGTCTGTAGATATGAGTAGAGGGAAAAGTGCTTTTGTGCATGGAGAAATGGAAAAATGAATGTTTTAATTTTCATAAGCTTAGTGTATTTTATGTCAGTGCTTCAAAGCATACTAGAAGGGTATGATGCATTGTTGATAAAGAAGAATTGATACTTTTGAAAGATTAGTTTCTTTAACTTGGTAAAAAAAGTTCTAGATTGTAGCAGTGGCTTTAACTTTGTTCAGTCAAATATAAACTGTAATAGGTAGAAAGTTTGACAGGATCTAAGTCCTAACTCAACTATAATTTATTAAAATTTAACTTCAATTTGAAACATTAAACAGAATGTAAGAGACAACATAAAAGAACCGTAATGCTTAGATTGGAGTGAAACTCATTAAGTTAATGGATGTATGGCCTAAGAATAGGTCTGAGTTTGAGAAGTCTGAATTGGAAGGAGAGACTGTGGTTTGCAAAAACACCAGAGGAGAGGTATTTAAACAAGCAGCAGTTTCATAAAATGTTACTTGTCCATGAATGCATTTTAGTCTACAAATCAAAAGAAGAATCACAACCACTGGAACATATGGGTTCTGAAACAGTCTTCTGGTGTATTGAGTGGTGGTGAAAAGCTGTTAAGATAGACCTCACTAGGCTCAACCAAAGCATTTTAAAATAGCCTTAGTAAAAATCTAAGTTCTTCTATAGGACTTACAAACCAGAAAAAGATCTACCAGTGGCACACTGTTCTTCATACTAAAAATTTGTGAACATTTTAAAATCACGCTCCCTTTTTTCTAATGAGTAACAACAGCTGATGTTCATTGGATGCAGATGTTTGTGACTGATTTTCCTATCAATGGCCAAATCTTTGAGTAGGAACTTGTTTTGACACCTAACTACTGAGCTCCACTCCAGCTGCTGTAAATCCATGATTAATTTCAGCTTCATATGATATGAGCAATGAGAAATAACTGATGAAATGTTGGGATTTTATTTTGTACATGTATAATACCCAAGAAAAAATCTATGTTTTTTTAACAGGACAATAATTAAATTTAGGTTGGATCTAGCCTGACAATCTTAACATTTGTGGGCTGTGATCTTTTTGACAATATATAATTCAGGGTTTTTTTCTTTCTAAAAAAAGAAAATCAGTGTAAAAAAGTGTATCAGCTTCTTAGTCTTGTTGACATTTCAGTTTCTAATGCAAGAAAATGTTCTACAGCATTGTTTTCAATTAGTTTTTTTATGTAAAAATATATTTTTTTTGCACTGAAATATGAATCAAGTGATAGAGTAGTTTGATCCTGGTACTTAGAAAAATATATTGAAAACTATGGGTTGCTGCAAACAGTAGTATTCATTTTCTATCAGTATAAAAAGTAAGCAGCAAAATGAAAATATATCCACTGATCTTGGTCACTATTCTTCACTTAAATAAATGAGATGTTTTTACCTCACAATTGCCAACACAATTAATCAAAAATGGTTTAGTGATCTAACTGTACATAGTATTACAGATAACTAGTTATCTACAACTATTTCTTCTCCTTTTGTATAACAGTTGCAACAGATTTGGCTCTTGTCATTAAGAGGACAATTTCAATAAATTGAAAATAGGGGCACTGATAGCTTGGTGTTTTGCTGGACTGACAAAAAAACTAAGTGTTTGCTCTGGATAGTGTAAGTAATCTTTGTTCTTTTGTGGAAGCAGAGGAAAGGGCAGTAATAATGCAACAATATTTTAGGCATTTGATCATTCTCAGTGTCCTCGGCTGGTGGATGTATGATAAAGTGGCTGTGCACTATTCTGTCTAATACAAAATGTGCTAAGAAATGTCTAGTACGATCATCTTCAGGTCAGATATGGCCAGTTATACCAAAACCAATTGACAGTTATTTGCCTAATCTGTTTTAGAATGGAATACCCATCCAGGAGGAAGAAATTATATTTTCATATCTTTATATTTACTTTTAGGGGAAAACCATATAAAAGCGTCTGATCTGATTATCTCTTCCTTTAATTTTAAGTCCATTACAGTTCTGTATCTGGCAGATATCTGCAAAGAACTGTTTAATCCCATCCTATGATGGATTTGGAAGTACTGCGTAGTTAAAAAGCTATTGCATCTCCCCTGTGTTGTTTCCAACAGAACAATTCATTATTTATCACTAGTAAGGTCCCATCATTACAGATGTATCTAAATATTCTGGTTACTAATCAAAAGTAGTGATAAATAAATTTTACCCAATGTGTACAATGGCATGTGAACAGAGAAAGTGATGGAGAGTCTATAATACCAGTAAAATGAACGTTGTAGGTTTTTTGCTAGTTCTGATCAATGTCTTGATTTTGAACTTCTGATGTTGCAGAATGGATTCTTTTTTACATAAAACATTTGATTTTGTTAATACACAACAAGAGATTTCCTCAGTTTAAGCTTTTTTAAAGTAATAATCTAAAGAATGCACAGAAACTATTGTTAATACACCCGCATCAAAAGATTGTGAAAAGTATTGGATCTTCATCATGCTGACTATATCTGTTCTAAATAGAGATGCTTTCATCAAATCAACTGATTTGTAATCAGTTAATAGATAAAAGTAAGGTAGTAATTGGAAAGTGGAAAATGTATGGAAGAGATACCCATTATGAAATAATTTTCTGTCTTGTTGGCCAAAGACAGTAAAAAGATATCCAAGGACTTGTCTCATGGGAGTAGTATGGAAAGTTGACTAAAGCTGTCAGGAAATGTTCTTGCCTCTTGTAGAAAGAGAAAAGTATTCAAGTACTTATGAATTCATTCCATAATTGAATAATATAACTTCACCCTTTATAAAAGAAATTTCCTGAGCAAATAGTCTCTACAGTTTTTCTGCTGTACATGTATTTTTGTTGCTTCTGCAGCCAACTTCTTCCTCCAGTAGAATTTTGTTAGAAGCTTGAAGCTCAAAATACCGGTACCTTACACAGACAATGAAGTCTAAAGAGCAAATGATTCCTTCTGTTATGACTATGAATGGCAGTGTTGCCCATGAACTTTAGGGTTAGGTAATTGATTAGACATCATAGTTTCAACAAGACCAACAGCTACTATCAAAGGGATGGCTGCAGTACTGCTGTCAGTCATGGAGTTACTTGTATTTGATATCAAGGGGTTTTGAGCAATAGTAAACAGGACCATGAAGCCACTGTCTTGTGTAGAAGAACATGCCCGGGTTTAACCTTAGCAAAAGATAGCTTTGGAAATCGCTGAAATTTAAAATTTTTGTTGTGTTCACTTGGAGATATTCCTATGCATAAATATCCCAGGCAGCCACTTCTGCAATTCCTTGAGGCTTTTCCTTTTCATTGCCATTTATGCTTAAATTATGACTCTTCCAATAAACTCTAGAACAGTGTGTAGTAGAAATTTGTTGGTTTTCTTCCCTTCCTTTGCAAGGTTTTTAAAATGACAGCTCTGTGCCAACGAACATATAATTGTTAATTTAAAAAATAAAATTACTAAATTTAATGAATACCATAATTTAAAAATCTTTTTTTAGTTTAAGGTTACCTAATTGTATCAGCAAGTGAATGGAATTCCTCTTGATCATCTGTTGAGTAAAGAGTCGATTTTGGGTTTTAAAATGGTCCAGTTATACTGCTTTTATTTATGCTGACAATTTTCATTCATTATTAGTGTTTGAAATGTCAAAATTTTTAATGTCTTTTTTCTTTCTCCCTAGCTGGGTTGAAAACTTTGGCCAAGAAGGTTTGGGGCTGCTGTTGGATGTTTTAGAAAGATTAGTTGAGACAAAAAAGTAAGGATGATTTCATATAAAATTGCCAGCTTTCCTTAATATGTAAACAACACTTAATTACACTAATTTTTTGATTTATTCAGCCAGGACAAAGTTGTGAAAAGGAGTCAGCATAAGGTTATACAGTGTTTGAGAGCCTTCATGAATAATAAGGTATGGGATTTTATTTAATCTGGAAATTACTACAATTCAGTCAGATAATGTACATGATCAGTAGGTATAAACCTGTGCAATGTGGAGTTAGTCAGCTGTGGTTTGAAGTTCGTTCTGCTGCCACTTCCTCTCTGTGGAAATATACTCAGAGAATAATGTAAACTTTTGATGCTCATGTATGCCCTTATAGAATAAGTGACCCGTTTTGGACTTTTCTTTTATGTAATTTTAAAAATTAATTATTTAACAGACTTAAATGACATTCGAAATATTTACTTGAGGGAACTGTCATTGTCTTTTACTAGATAGTTGATACAGTCATTTGGATTCCCTCCCAACTCTCCTTACAACTGTTATTCTAATGTTTAGTATGGACTGGAAAGAATTTTGGGAGAAGAGAGGAGCCTTTTGTTACTGATAAAAGCAATTGATCCCAAGAAAACTAACATGATGACGGATATAGTTAAACTCCTTTCTGCAATGTGCATCGTTGGAGAAGAAAACATGTAAGTACTGTATTTAGTCAGAAATACTGAGATAATTTTACGATATCCAAAATTATAGTTATACCTGAATGAAATGCTAAAATTTTCAACTTGGATTTGAAAATCGTATCTGTACTATATTCAGTTCTCAGAATACCTTCGTCTGTGATTTTCATTATGGTCATATCACCAAGAGTTTTCTTTTTGACATGTGGAGATACTGGTTAGATGTTAGTTATGCAGTCATTGTTTTGCTTAAAACTTTTTAGCATTGCTCTTAAGGTATCTTAACCATTGTAATCCAGTAAGTCATTCTTTAGCTACAAAAGTCTTCAGAGAAAACAAGTAATGCTTAAACCTCCTAAATTTGTAGGCATGAAATTGAGGCAGGTGAATATTTTGGCAACATGTCTCTTCAGAAAACAAATGAACAGCAAGGTTAAATATCTTTCCTGTGTGAAATGGTTTACTTTCCTTACAGCCTTGAAAAAATTTTGGAAGCTATAACAGCAGCAGCAGAGGAAAGAAATGTTGATAGATTCTCTCCTATTGTAGAAGGTCTTCAGGATAACTCAGTTCAGCTGCAAGTAAGCAAATTTTTTCACAAACCTCTGCAATGAGTAAAAATAAAATTGTTCATTTTTCTATATTGAACATTACAGAATTACAATAAAAAGGAGAAGGGATACCCTTTCGAAGAAGGGTCAAATTTTGGAATGATGTTTAAAGTGCTATCTTGTAAAATGCATTGTGGGAAGATTCAGGTTCAGAAACACAGGAGTGTCGCAGGTTAATTTGTTGATTTCTATTCACTCAAATCTTACAGACTTTGGAGTTAAAATTATATTGCCTTTTAAAATAAAGCATGAGTCATATAGTCAGGTGCAAAAATAGTATCTAATTTCTGGTGATATTTTCTGAAACCTAAAAATTAATAAATTTTTAGGCAACTGATTTTTATAATTAATGTTTAAATCAGCAAGATATCTGTCACTTGTGCCTGTTTTATGATTTCACAAAATTGTACTCGGAGAGTGAGGAAAGAAATCTTTCATCTTAATTTCAATTTTCAATTTTGCTTCAGTTGGATATAGAGAAAGACACAAAGTATTACAGTGCATTTGAATGATCATTGGAAATCATTGGTCCAGGAGTGTAAATATTAACTCATATTGATTTCTATGTAATTCAGCTGAACTGAATGCTGGTCATAATTATCATTCTTTGTGAATATTATAAAAATAGATGAATCTCAAGTTTGAAAGAAATCAAAACCTGTCACCTTTAGTATTAAATAGTCCATGTCTGATAGTAAAGATTGCTGTTGGTTTCATCTGTCTCACAGAAAAGCTAGCCATAAAGAAATATTTGAAGCTGGAGAGTCATTTTTTGTTGAATTATGCAGGTAACGATGGGATTCTCTCTTGAAAAATTGTACTTTTTTCTTACTTTTTCTATCTTATAATCACAGAATGGTTTGGGTTGGAAGGGACCTTTAAAGATCACCTAGTTCCAACCCCCCTGCCTTGGGCAGGGACACCTTCCACTAGACCAGGTTGCTCAAAGCCCTGTCCAGCCTGGCCTTGAACACTGCCAGGGAGGGGGCAGGCACAGCTTCTCAGGATGTGATTGGCTCTCTTGTCTGCAAGCACACATTGTTGGCTCATATCTAATTTTTCATCTGTGACTATCCCAAGGTCTTTCTCAGAAGGGCTGCTCTCAGTCTCTTTGTTACTCAGACTGCACTGATACTGGTGATTGCCCCAACCCAGATGCAGGATGTTGCACTTGGCCTTGTTGAACTTCATGACGTTCACGTGGGCCCAGCTCTCCAGCTTGTCAAGGTCCCTCGGAGTGACATCTCTTGATGCTCCCATCTTCAGCTTTCTATTGTGTGATTTCATTCCTCTTCATTGTAGAACAGAGCTTTTTACAGTTACAATTACTTATTTGCCTTTTTTTTTTATTTTTAGACTGAATAAGTTGCTTTCTAACCCTTTTTAGTAGTGTAGATATTAATTCATAGTATAGCTTGTTGAATAAACAGACATCTTTTTTACTCAGTATTGTGAAAATCACCACTAAATACTTTTTCTGATGTGTATTCTAGTATATACATTCTAGGAGTGCTAAACTGAGGTGAAGAGAATATCATACAAAAGATGGAGACAGAAAATTACTGTCTAGCATAAAGTCAGTTAAACTCAGTTACTCTAATTTGATAAAGAAGGTTGATTCCTGTTTGTTTTGTTTGGTATTTTTTGTTGTAGTGTATATAGTTATTTCCATGTTCTCTGTCCTGAGCATGAGATCCAATAGCAAGATTGTTTTTTCTTTTCTTTAAATCTTGCTGTCATAACCATGGTAGAATTGGTTACTGTGATAGGACAAATTCAGCTTTGAGTTGCTGCGCAGTTTTCTGGCAGTAGTCATGGTGTAATTTGCCAAGTGAAGTGATAATTGAGAGAAGGATGGTCCTCTTTTTTTTTTTTTTAATTTTGTAAAATTTTATATATTTTTTTTTTATTTTAGCATGGATTTATTATTTTATTACACTGAGTTAAAAAGTTTTGAATGAAAACCAAATTTAAGAATTTATGGATTCTCTAGTTCTTTCCTTTGCTTCAACCTTGAAGATTGCTAAATGCCTGTAATGCATATTGCATTTCATTACCCATGATGATAGTCAACGTTGCTTAGGAACCTTAGACAGTCAACTTCAGAGTCAAATAGAAGTAGGCTCTCCCCCTGCAATAATTTTTATTGGTTGGAAATGAAGCATATTTTGTTTGTTCTTATATTTCATTTGTTTGTTTTCAAAAGTGTATCAGGTTGGTATTGACTTCACATAGAAGACACTAATTCCAGCTTAGTGCAGAAAGATTTGTTTTTTTCTTTTTTTTTTTTTTTTCCTCCCAGATTTGTACATTTTGGTAATGTATTGAAAACCACAGTAACTACCTTTAAGGGTCAAAAAGGAGACCTTTTGTAGGCAAGGCCGGTGCGGGGCTGGAAAGGGACTGTAAAGAGAATTGTAGAATAATAAGGTTTTTTTAATTTGAGCAGTGGCTGGGGGGCCTTGTGTAAGACTCAGCCTACAGTTAAGATTAGCAAGAAGAGAGAGAAAAAGCTTTGAGCTCCAGTTCTGGTGGCACTGGAAAGGGACTGCAGAACAGAAGTGTGGACTGTAAGAACAGTTTTCCTGTTTTCCAAGGCTTTTGAGTCTGCATTTTCCAGATTGGTTGTAAATTTCTTGTAGTAGAACATCCTTACCTTAGTTTTTTTTCAAGAATCATTGCAGTTCTTCAGTATCAAATTTGAAAGTATGATCTCATACATGTCTCTTCTCCTCTGGGGGTCTCGGTTTCGTTTAGATTTCAAGATGAATAATGTTCATTTTAACAAGTTCCTATTCAGTATGACTTATACTTCATATTTTAGCATCCTTGAGGTAGTAGTAGGCAGTATGAATTTGGGCCAGACGTGAAAGCTTGGACATGTCAGACATTCAGGATAATATAACATTTGGCTCACTGTATATAGGGCTTTTTTTGTTTGCATGTTTTTTTAGTCCTCCTTGGTTATTTTACTTGCTTGGTTTACTTTGATTTTGGGTCATGAGATAAGTTAAAAAAATGGGGTTCTTATTTCAAGAACCTGAAAAACAAAAATAATGAAAAGTTTGATTTTCTGTTATGCTTATTTTTATTGTTTTAGTATCATCAATAAGGTAAAAAAAAGAAAACTTTATTCATAAATCAAAGAATTAAAACAAATCCAAATGCAGAAATTAGTTTTAAATAATGTTATTTCAGTGTCTCTGTATATTAGTTTAGCAGCCTTCTTCTATCTTTGGCATGAATATAGATGATATTAAAACTATTTTGAATTGGTAGGGAGAAGTGCTTTAGATTATGGAAACCATATTTCTCAATTTCAGGATATTGTATCTAACTTAAAAGATTTTAAGAGCCTGTATTTGCTACAGAGCATATAAGAATTGGAGAATTTCAAGGTCCATCACAGCTCTTAGATGCCTAAACTTTAATAGCATGAAGAGCAGTACTTCTCTGACTATTCTTTACTAGTCTGTAGATATTTAGAGTCCTGAAATTAACAGCATTTTGTGTTGAGCATTAGACTTCCAAATGTGATCCTGAATTTTCAGAAGTTGTATATATCTGCATAAGTGTAGATTTAATAAGGGGGAAAAAACCTTTGTATATCTCCCTTTTCTATACAGTTCAGAAAGCACATGAAATCTGCCTTAAAAGCAGCCCCTTACTTTATTTGAAGCAGCAGGTAAATTTAATTAATCCTATGTACTTCTCCCTTTACCCATGATGGGTACACACATGTGCATTTTGCTCATTTCCCCTTTTTAATAATTAAATACATTTATAAGGGCCCCTTATATACTTAAGCTAAATATATTAATTTGGCTTTACTAAGAGGGTTACCTCAAAGTTTCAGAAAGTAGGTAACATTCTGCTGTTTCATTTGCTGTATCTTATGTAGACATGGAACCTTAATGAAAGTTCGTGTTGTTTTGTTTTCTTTTTTTTTTTTTTTAATAGTTAAACTTCTATTTGAACATGTTCTTTCCACTAAAAGACCTTTTTTTTTCTTTTTCAGAGTCCACAAATGGTTGCTAGATTTCTTTAAGACTAGAAAAAATCAGGGTTTCTCATGTGAATCAGCTGTAAACTTTTATAACAATGACATTGACCTGTTGGTTAATTTGACAGTGTTTTAATGAGACAAAAGTTTACTGTTGTCAGTTAGTTGGCATAGTTGCCCTGATTATCTGCTTGATATATGTAGGCTTGCTTTGTGGCAGCTCAATTTGACACTAACAACTGACCTTTTCAATTTCAAATTGACTAACATTTCTGTTACCTGAAGGCTGAATATATAAAGGGCCTCAGTATGATGATTTTTGTATTTTTAGTGAAAACTCTGTGTATCTACTTGCATTTGTTTCAGCAAAGGATATTCTCCCTTTTATCTTTCATAAAATCCCAAATTATGGAAAACATACTTAAATGTTTTTGGTTTATGACAAGGTCTTAGTATAACTACAGCTGGGAATTAAGACGTTAAACTACATTTAACAAACCTCAAGAAAATGCATACAAAGAAAATCTGGTACCTTGTATGTACTTATGATGACAACTGAAAAAAATCTAATAGTTTTGTTGTTCAAGCCATGGTGTCAGGAAATACAGCTCTTCTGACACAACCCATTTTGATGTATTTAAGACAGCGTTAAAAACAAAAAAAATTGTGTGTTGCCCAGTTCTTTTCATTCTTCTTATATAATCAAATGAAGAATACTTCTTCTTTCTTATCATCATCTTTCATCACTATTCCTCAAGCAGGCAGTTTAACTAATGGAAGAATTCTGTTCTTCTGTACAATTCTAGTTGCAGATTCTAATTCTTCTAATTTCCAGTTTAGAACTGAGAAGAGATACAATGTTAAAGCAAGTTCCTGAAAAATGATCACTGATCATCCCTATGGAAACTTGCAGGTGTTTCATGCCTGTCCTAGGAGAAGTGTTTTTGTTGCAAAGTAAACTGCATTA